TGCCCTCCGCGCCGCCGTGGAGAGCGGTAAGGGCTCGGTTGGTTTCCACGGCCTTCCCCCACCTCTCTTAACCCCACCCGTGACTGCCGCAGCTCGGAGGTACTCGGGGAGTAGAGGTACCGAAATGGCCTCCTCCGCCCCAGGGATGGTGAAAGACCTGATGTTTTCCATCTGGAGAACAAATACTTGGCACCAGGATGACCCGCAGACCGTCTGTGTTCAGCTAATTGCATGTCTGCTGGGATAAACTGAGCAAAACCCACGCAGACGGCCCTTTTTATTATTATTATTATTTCCAGAGTTTAGAAGGTGACTAAGCTAAAACCAGCAGCAGCTGGAAGGAGTGAATGAATGCCTTTCCCTATCTGGAACTTGAAACGTTGAGCAGCTCAGCAGCGAGGGCCAGGGTGATAACCTTCTGATAGAGCGCTGCTCAGGCTTGTTTGGGATCTCACTGAGATAACCCCATTACTCCAGTCATCTGGGGAAAATCTCATGTTCAAGGCTGGGAGCAAGCATCCAAAGGATGTCAAAAGCTCAGTCTGAGAGGCAGATGACATGATAAAAAGCTTCTGACATCCTGCCCTGGACCACAGCGGAGCACTTACTGGGAAAGCAGTCCAGGAGATTCTGTATGGGCAGCAGAGACAAAGCCATCTAGCCAAGGGTGTCACCTGGCAGCTGAGGAACTGATCTTGTCACCAAATCTGAGGCAAAGGTCCTGAAGCTCATTGCTGGGCAGAGATAACGCAGGGCAGAGGCCCAGCCTGTGGTCCTGGGTGCATACAATGCTTTTGTCTGAGCAAGGATGGCGTGAGGGGAGAAGGGAAAAGGGGTTTGTTAGCTTCCACAGAGATCTCTTCCCTACTGTCTCCTCTTACCACAGGATTTGCCAAGAAGACTTTCATCTCCTACTCTGTCACCTTTGGGGACAGCTTCCGACAAGGCAAGGTTGTTGGCATAGACCCTGGGAGGCAACAAGTCTTGCTCAGTGATGGTGAGGTGGGTGACTTGCAATGAGTAACTTGGCTGCTTTAGGGGATCACCGCTAATGCGGTGGGTCAGCCTTCAGCAGGGTGGGTTGCAGATCTCTCCTTCTTGGGGTTTTTCTTCAGCTATGTCATGGCTGCAAGAATGCAGTGCCCCAAATCTAGGCTATGTTGGCTTTGACTGGTGATGTCTGGTTGGAGAAGTGACTTGGAATTCAGGTTTCAGACTGCTGTCTGTGCTTGGAGTCAACTGGGGGGAAAGAACGAGATGAGCAGGACCACAAGGCAGCTGGACACAGAAAACGTGCCTCTGAGTGGGAAGAGGAGCACAGCTTTCATCTGCCAGAGGAGAGGGGGGCAATGTGTGGGACAGAATTGTGCTCTGGGAAAACCAAACTGGACCTTGCCCCTTGAGCTGGATGAGAACTGGGAGTGCTGTTCAGTGGTTAGAAACACGCCCACATCTACAGCACAGGTCAGCTGAGCACACGAACCCTGACTGATCCAATACCCCAGGGCTCAGAGTTCACATGGAGAACAGGGTTCCTGTTCTGAGGTAACCCTCAGCTTGGCTGAAACGCCTGCCATATCCCAGGCCCTCTGGGAAGGCACCGATTGCTTTCCCCATGGCTTCTGCCACCTCTGGGCAGATACACAAATGCTCATGCTTAGTCCTTGTCCTGTGACTCTAGGAGAGAGAGAGGAATAAAAACAATGAACTATTTCTATGGAGGTCTGCTCCAAAGAGAAGCAGGTTCCCAGCCATCTCCTCTAAAACCAAGAGGCAATGTGGGCAAAGACTGTAGCCTTTAATCGTCCCAAAGAGCTTGGTAGCACAGACCGTTTTTCCCTGTATGCACCGAATGGCACCATCCCTTCCAGCCAAGCTGAGTGGCCTGGAGCTGTGTTGGGATCTGGGTGTGTACTAAATACTGCACCCCATCTTGTGCTCAGATGAGATGAATGGATTGTGCTCAGATGGATTCTTAGAGCTGGATTTAGAGCTTAACAATTAACCCTGGAGCTTGAATCCTTATCTAACTGCAGGAAGAAACAAGGGCAGCAGCTCTCATAGTTCTTTTTCAGCCAGAGTATCTCATCTCTGTTCAGAAGATGGTGAAAGTGAGTTAGTCTCTGGAGCCAGCTGTGATGGTAGCTTCAGCGTCTGGCATAAACATTAGGTTATTTCCTGTAATAGAGAAATAGAGAGCTTCTTCAAAATTCTCAGGTCACCTGAAGAATGGTGCTTCTCTCAGACCCTGAAGAAGGCAGTTACTTGGTGTCACCTGGACCAGGTTTCTTCCTAAAGCCACTACCTGACGGTAGGACAGTGAAGTACTTCCCTAGTTATCAGCAGGGGCTGCAGGAGCGGGGATGAGCAAGTAGTACCTAGGAGTCAACAACTGTATTCTAGGCTCTCATTTTAAGAGGTCTAACATCCTATTCCACCTTCTGCCCTCCCAGGAGCTTCACTACTCCCATCTCATTCTTGCAACAGGCAGTGATGGGCCATTCCCTGGGAAGTTCAACAAAGTCGTTGACATGGAAAGTGCCATCCAGACCTACGAAGACATGGTTAAGGAGGTGAGGAATCTACTTATTTCCTAGGAAGCATTGCCTGCCTTTGTTCAGCTTCCCTGTCCCAGACACCACTATGGGTATCTGGAGCCACTGTGTCTAAGAACAAGAGACCACGATGCCTGCGGGGACAGGCCAGGACGAGGAGCAGGTGCTAGCTTGTCTAACATTCTGCATGCCCCAGGGGAAGATGAGACATCTGCACAAGGGGAAATCTGAAATGCTCAAGTGTTAAGAGTGTACACAGGAAGAATGCATGGGGTTCTCATGTTTGGTTTCCTCTTAACAAACTTGGTGGTTTATTGCTGTTGGGACAGCGCTGTATCTCAGAAAGGTCTGTTCAGAGTGGCTGAAGGTATCTGACTTCCTGCACTTAACAGTTCTCTTGTAACATGAGTTTCCTCTTTACTTCAAGATTGAGAAATCGGAGCGGATCCTGGTAGTGGGAGGCGGTGCCGCTGGAGTTGAGATGGCTGCAGAGATCAAAACAGAGTACCCAGCCAAAGAGGTAGCACCATATTAGTTACAATGAACTTCATCTTTGCTTCTGAGACTGTTCTGTCATGGTCCTGCTGGAGGTATCTGAGATCACTGCCAATCAGGAGTTTCTATGCAATGGCAGCCTTCGCCCCCACTGCCTCCCCTTCTGAAGAGTGCCCTGTAGCTGTCACCAGCAATTATTGGCACTAGATGCCTTTCACTGGCTCACTCTCCTTGGGCGTTAAGTGGGGTGGAAGAAAGCTAGCTAGAGCTGCTCCCACCCAGCATGTGGCAAGTCCTGTCCTATTCCTGTGTCCCGTTTGCTGTTTTGTCCCCAACAGGTCACCCTCATTCACTCAAAAATTGCACTAGCTGATGTGGAGCTGCTGGATAGTGTCCGTCAGGAGGTGAAAGAGATTCTCCTCAGAAAAGGAGTGCGCCTCCTATTAAGTAAGTACTTAATGATGCCTCTGAAGCTCTGTAAGCTGCTCTTCCTTTAGCCAAAGCCTCTCTTTCTGACATCCTCTTTCTGACTTTTTCCCTTGAATTCCTGTTTCACTAGATACCTCTGGGCTTGGGCTAGCTGGAAGCAGCAGCCTAGTAAAGGTTTGTGATCCATGGCTTTCTGTCACAACAGGTGAAAGGGTCAGCAATGTGGAAAACCTCACCCCAAACCGGTTCCAGAAGGACATGGCAGTAAGGACAGAAAAGGGCACCGAGGTGGTTGCTGACATTGTGGTCCTGTGCACAGGGATAAAGATTAATTCTTCAGCATATGCTGCTGCATTTGGTAAGTGAAAACCCACTGAATGGAGAGAAGCAACACAGCTCTTCAATGTCTTGTACTTGAGTACTGTAAGGTTCGGAATCAACCTTATACCACCTGCAGTGGTTATTCCATGATAAAGCAAATGCTCTCACATCACATTAAATACTTGACTGTGAAATGTAACCTTCAGAAACTTACAGACCATAGATGGAGTGGCCAACAGTCTTCTCCAGCTCCTGCTAATACCTCCAAGGAACCTTAATGTCCTAGTTTAGCATGAGGCAGATGACACCTAGAAGATGATGGTAACTCCTGCTGTCAAGGCCAGGATTTCGTCCTAGACATAAGCTTGCTGAGTTCTGTGCAAAAATAGGCTCAGCACATTCAATGCTATCAATGTCACAGGACATTCAGCAGATCACTTATTCAGCAACACAGCTCCAGTCTGAGTCCTCTTACAGCCCACTTTCAGTTATATGGCACTACAACTACGGAGCAGTATGACCACTATACCATCTCCTTCTCAGGCTGTGTACACTAGCTCTTCATGTTTCTTGATGTTTCTACTGAAATATCCTAGGATGATTCATTGCATTAGACTGTAATAATTAACTACAGCAAGGCAAAAAGCCTCTCTTCCCTAACACCTAGAAAAGAGGGTGAAAAACCAACTCCTCACTTTGTGTCAATGACACATTTGATAACATGATTGGCATTTCAGGGTCTCAGGCCACAAGCAATGCAAAGCTCTTTCTGAAAACTTACTGTTTGGCAAAACAGGGGACAAAATGGCAAGTAATGGTGCTTTGAAAGTTAACAAGTACCTCCAGCTGGAAGGCTATGACAACATCTATGCCATTGGGGACTGCGCAGATCTGAAAGAACCAAAGATGGCCTACCATGCTGGGCTCCATGCCAACATTGCGGTGACAAATATCATCAACAGTCTGACAAATAAGCCTCTTAAAACCTATGAACCAGGTAAGATAATCTAGCACTTGGCCTTAGCTTTTGGACTGCTTTTCTGTAGGGAACACCTGTTTAACATGTACACCTTACAGCTTGCACAGGACACTGATTAGAGGTGAAGGAACCCATAAATGGAGTTGACTGTATAAGCTTATAGCTCAAGCTTCATCTCAGTTCTTGCCAAAGACACTGTAGAAGTTAATTACCTGTGCCAGTCTACGGACACATGTTCTTTTTTCACTAATGTCTTCCTGATAAATCTACTGGTAGGTGTCTGCTAGTCATCAAACTTGTTTCCTTTTCTCTAAATTGCTTACTGTCCAATTGAATCCTAGGAACAAGGAGATGACTTGACTCTCCTCCCTTCTTCCCTTAAAGTATACAACACAAAATGAACAATCTAGTTTCAAAAATCTATCTAGGTGATGGGTCTCATTAATAAGCAACTGATGTAAATATTTACCATAACTACATTGAAAGCCGTTCCATGTGGATGGAGCATATCTCCACCAAACAGTAGTTTGGTTTTTAAAGGCTACCCACTCTATTTATATTTCTTTCTACTTTAATTTTGTTGTCTACCTCTTAGACTCCCTCTTGGGAGGACAGAATCACTCTACAGCACATACAGACAGCCCAGTCCTTCAGCAATCCCATCAAGGAAAGGGGTAGACAGATGGAAGAAAGGAGAGAGTTGTGAGTAGTTCTCCTTGGGCCTACCTCTTTCCTTGTCATGCAGCACATGGCTCCTGTGCTCAGCAGTATGCATGGGTATGAGCAGGGCATTGAGAAGGGAGAGTTTGGAAGAAGTGCAACACCTACCAGTAGGGTTTGATACTTATCTTTGAAACTGCTTAACTGAAACCTCTACATCTTCTTTCCAGGGTCACTAACATTCAAACAATGGGCAGGAATGATGGCGTAGGCCAGGTGAACGGTTACTATGTGGGACGTCTCTTGGTGACCATCGCTAAGAGTCGGGACCTGTTTGTCTCCAAGAGCTGGAAAACAATGGGGCAGACAATGCCCTCTTAAGAGGGGATCAGTAACAACCCAGCAAAGAATACAGCAACTGGAAGAGGGTAAGGCTGCACTTTTATTGCTTGGACAGACTGTCTCCTGCAGCACCACCTAAAGCCACTCATCAGCATGCTGCACTAAAGGGGTGTAAAGGGGAAGGAGGCACTTTCCAAATGAAGTGCACAGAAGTTCTCATGATAAAAACCAGGGATGGAATGTTTCTTTTACTTCCCTGTTGAGATAGCAGTGAAGTACTTTTTTACAGGGAAGTTCTTTTACTTCCCTGTTGATTTGTAACAATAAACACTGTGGTTTTCAAAATCTCTGTGGTTTCTTTGTTATGTGGTTTTCCCCTGCCTTTCTCTACTTTTGCTCTTCTAAAAAAATACCTGCCTTTTACAGATCTGGAATCGGCTCTGCAGTGTGCAGGAAGAATGGCTTACAGCACTGCCTGGGGAAAGCCTGCCTAAAGCCTTGAAAAGGCTGCGGTAATCCCGGAACTCAGCAGAATATAATGCAGCTTTGTGTCAGTGTCTCCACAGCAGCTTTAATTATGTCACTTACAGCACTATACTTCAGCCAGAAGAGCTGGTTAGTAGTGTGCTAAGTGTGATACAGCAAGCAGTTAATTACAGATGCTGCTGCTGGGTTTTTTTTGTTTTGTTTCGTTTTGGGTTTTTTAGGTAAGAAATTCCCAGAGCAAAAAGTAAGATTCATAAAAATAACCACACTTGACACATCTTTTTCTTTTTTTCTTATAAAACAAACAAAATCACCATGAAATATTCTTAGTAATTACAGAGATTATTGTGAGTTAAAAGCAAAACAGAAGCTCCTCATGCATCACTTCTAAAATTCTTTTCCTGTCTCTGTGGGCTGGAGGCAGAAATTTACCATCTGCCCTCAAGGGAGGGGAAAAAAGAGGCAGAACATTTTTTAAGAGCTTTCTTTAAAGTGTGTGTGTGTGTGTGTGTGTGTGTGTGTGTGTGTGTGTGAAAAATTCATCACTACAAATCTAAAATGAGGTTACTCTTTAAAAACTTCTAAACTAAAGTAACAAGGGACACTAAACAAATTCCTGAAAAGAGATGGTAACTCAATTGCTTAAGGTGATAAATGGCTAGAGTATGCTGACAGCATGAAGAAATCGGACTAAACCCCTCTCATCTCTAGTCACAGCTCTTCATCAAGTCACAACACATCACACTACTACCACTCCCCCTCCTCATCACATTGAAAAAATAAAACCCACCTCTAATGCTTTTAATGCTACTCAAGTTTGTTGAAAAATAAAGTTTCATTTGGCTGCCGTTGCTACTTAGTGTCTAGCTTGGCCATTTCTTGCACATAGATGCCAATACTTTCACTGTCAAAGAGCAGAAAGTAAATGTTCTTCAAGGAGGAAGAGCTGGTGCCATCAAAATGCGTGGAAATAGCTCGTAGAGTCACCTGGGCTGCCGTCTGTTTTGGGAAGCAGTTTCTATGTGGTAGGGGAAGAAAACAGAACAAGTGAGTATCAGCCACCTGTGCAAGCATTATACAAATGTGATGCAGAAAGGAACAAGCCATAAAGGAAAAAGCCATAGTCTGACCAACTGCACACTGCTGTTAAGATAGTGGCAGGTGCAGTTTTGCAATGTGTAAAACACACAAGCAAACCCCAAGGTTTTGATAGCAATATTCATCTGCTGCTGTATTAATTTCCTCACTGGCATAGTTACTCTTTTCATTTGCTTCTACTTTTTATAACCACACAAAGTTTTTTAACACTCTCCCTTAGAATTAAACTTTTCCATGCCATATTGGGCAAGCTAAAAAGTTCAAGGGATGATTATTTTTTTAGGTCAAAATTGGAAAAAAAACCCAAAACACAAAAAACCCCAACAGCACATCAAGTACTTAACTGACTTCCTCAGTCTGTCATTAAAAATACTTTGCTTGAGACTTCAGTGAAAATAATTGAAATTACAACCCCAAGCCAAACTAAGGCCAAGACACATTCATTCATTCATTTTGATGGTAATATTCTCTAACCTACAATCTGAAAAGCTAAAAGCTACCAGTCTTAACAGCTAAGTGGACTTTTAAACTGTTGACATCTCTTGAGGCACCTGGCCCACATCCTTGAGATTCAAGTTTCTTGGCAGCAGCATTTTTTCCATCTTAATTATTCTCACACTCCTTTTTCAAGTCACCAAACCATTCAGCTGCAACACAGTTCCTTCGCCCTTGTCTCCATGCTGCAAGGGAACTGGCTGAGAGCACACTGCAAAGAGTACAGTTACTGTGAAGGTCAGCTGCTTTGCATCTCTGTTTATATCAAAATATGACTGCTATAATAGCCTATCTAATTAAATGCTCTGCCTTGCAGTATGCTCATGCTTAGGAAGGCCTCCACATTGTTCTACTTGTCTAACACCAAACAGATTCCTTGACCTAGAAAGCATCCCCTCCCAAAGTGACACTTGTGTGTCTCTGCCACTGACACCTGTGGGGAAGGACACTCTCCCACATTCCCTGCTGGAGTTTCTCCACTGCCTGACAATGCCGGTAGTAGTTCTGCTGATTTTGCACAATGCTAAAGAGTGTTGATGCAGTGCTTGCTACATGAGCATGTAGGAAGCCACGTACCTTGGAGAGTTTGGATGAGACTTTACTGGGACATACTGAATTGTTTGAAGGTGAGTTAAGACCCAGATGAAATTCAGATGGGTCTTTAGGCATAACTCTGCTGGCTGCTCTTGAGTTTAATGCCTCCTATTTAGATTCTATTGCATGATAATGCTCCAGAGGAAGTTAGATCCATGCCAAAAAAACCTGCCCAGCACAACCTAGCCCATGTCCTTCTTCTGAGGCAGGATTACATATAGCTTTTCTGCTTCTGAAAAAAGTTTGTCTAAGCTGCATTTAAAGATCTTCAGTGATGGGGCTACATCAGAATACACAGATAAGCCATCCCACTGCCTAACAATCCTTACACTTAAAAAACGATGGTATTTCTTTTAATAGCATCCAGAGCTGCCTTTGCAGTGTTTTTTCTTTCCCCCCCTCTCTGATAGCACTGTAATGTGCATTTGCTTTTATTTCCCTTCTGAAGTTCAGTACTACTCACTTCTTACTCCATTTCATGTTAGCGACTTCAGACTACTTATCATATTTATATTAAATACTATCCAAAAAAAGAGCTTGTAAACTAGTCGTCTCGACTAGAAATAGGAAACACAGCAAGTCCACTCAGCTCTCCTGTGGGTTGGCTAATTTTTCTGTATAAAGGCTTCCCAGTCATTCCATACAAATACTGCACACCAAGCCTCTTTAATCTGGAGAAGCACAATGTCAGATGGCACCTGCCACAGCCCTCTCTGAAGGCAGGGCCAGGCCTTTCCATGCCACAGACCAGAGGGTACCTCTCTATCACAACAGCAGCTCCCGGACAGCTAATTACACCATTCTGGTATACAGATATTCTAGATACAGAACCCACCTAACTAGAAAGATTCATACCTGCCACTGGGAAACGGGGGGAAAGCCACAGACTTCAACTTCTTGTCCTCTGCGGCTGTTAAGCAGTTCTTTATAGTCTCTTCAAGCTGTTCTTCACACTTGTCTGAGCCCCACTGTGGGATGTGACAGTGGATGACAAACTTTGCTGCTAGGCCGCTAGACTGAGTAAGTGCAGCTAACACAAATGAAAATAAAACATTTAGTTTTGAATAGAAACCACTCTGCAATGACCTCTCAATCCAAAGTACTCCCTCAATTACATTACCTCTCCAAAGAAATACATTAGGGGTTAAAATATGCCACAAAGGTTCACTTGCAATCATAAAGTGACTGTCTTGTCATTACTATTGTGATCAATTATTATTTCTTTGGAGACCAAAGAACCCAGGGCTCATTTGGTTAACACACAGTTCTTCAATAATATTTGATAGCTTTCTCATTCAGCATGGCCTCTGGATTTGTTTTTTGCAAAATATCAAAACCTTGCAATGAAGACAGTATCATTAATTCCCCAATAGACGTTTCTGCAGTGCCGTCAGCCTTATCTGAATGCTTTGCACAAACATCCTGCATCATCATTAGAGCTCCAGCGTGTTAGAGAGTAATATTTAGACCCTCTTCACAGCTGGGTAATTTCAGACAACAACATGAAAATCAAAGATGTTTGTTGAAAGCCTTCACCAGTTATGTTCAATTAGAAATCTCAGATTAATTTTTCAGAAAGTATACTATCTCTCCAGGACCTGCAGAGTCCACAGCATGGCATCAGTTTGCTTTTGTTGCAATTGTGACCATTAGCACTTCTGAAAATCTGTCTCTTGTGAATCTCAGATTAAACACCCTGAAATTAGCTGTGCAATCAATTTTCATCCAAGGATGAAAAACTGGGATTTATTCACTTGTTCACCATCACAGAGGAATTCTGTCTAATGCTTCACTGTGCCACTTAAATTTCAACTAGAAGAGCAATGTCAGGCCTTTAACAATAGGGAGCAAACTGACTGAAAACAACACAGGTATCCTGTGAGCAGCACTTGAATTCCAGCCCTTTAGACTCAAGTGTTTGCAGTAGACCTCCAGTGATTAACAACTGTTTATTACTGCTTGCCTCAAAACCAGTAGAAGGGGCAGTTTCAAACATAGCAAAACAACAAAATGTGTGAGAGCGTATATTTTCCTATCTACTAAACTAAGATTATCTTCTTTCCTGGGACTGGCCTAATAGCATAAAAGGAACCTATTTTCCAGTTAGGTAGTGATGCCAAACCACCACGCTGACAGAGAAAAGTACTTTACTTTCATGTTATGACATATATTTTTGATTCAATGCAAAAGTGAAGCAAAGTATCTTGTACAAAATTTTCCCTGTCATTCAAGATTATAAAACTAGGCTATTTATTGGGGAAATTTTAAAAACTAGACTATTTAAAGCATTTAGTTTCTTGGGTATTGAGATACTAATGCAAATAAGGCACTGGAAGATAATATTTTAACTTCGCTCCATCTGCCCTCCAGCCACCTTCAACCCCTATGAATTGTTTAATTTGTTGACAAAAGAAGATGTAATCTCAAACCCCAAATTGCCACAAATGTACTAAACATTTGAAAAGAGCTCTTCTGTAATTTGTATTTCTATAATGCAGCTGTAGTGCCTGGGAGAAGAGCAGCAATTGCTCTTCCAAAAAGCATGTCAGTTCTAAAGATCATATCACATCTTTATTTGTGTTCAAAGGAAGGTAATTGTTTGGATTATACTGTTCATCAAATATGCATAAAGCAGGATAATTTATAAACCATCACTGTTCTTATACCTCTTATGTCAGACTGAGAGCTGTTTCACTAAGGAATGCGGTACAAAAATAAGACAGGAAAGATGGCACAAAGGTGACAGCACAACTTTTCCTTAATTGTTGGACTCTCGCAGACAGAAATTGCCTAAAGTAAATTAATCAGCCTGCTGTAACTTGTGGTGGCACCTAGAAGCTCAAAGACTGGATGTGCACAGCACACAGGTATCCTGTCCTACTTCCCTTTTTTTCCCTAAGCAGGCTGTCCATATCAGCAACAGCTTCGAACAAGAACCAGAAACATTTACATCACATAAGCAAAGGCACATATATAATCAAGAACAGATCAGAATGTCCAGAGAAAAGAATATATGTAATAAGCCCTTTCCAAAAGAGAGCATAGTATCCTTTTTACCTTCAGCAACCTCCAAAGGTCCTTGAGATTTGCGAAGCTCTTTCACCGTTTCTAAAAACTCTTACAGCCTTTTCCAATGCTTTGCCTGCAAGGACACAGAGCAAAAGGCTTTGGCTTCAAAGCATCAGCATAAAAAAACAACTCGACATTATTTATAAGAACACTGTACACATATTACCTTGTTTCCATCTATCAGCAGCAGCTGAAGCTTATGTTTACCACTCTAGCTACAGATAAAGTTTACCTTTTCTTGGTTTTGAAAATCTCTGTATGTTATAACTGGAGATTACTTAAATATAATTATCTGTAAGAATGCTATCTTACTCTGTCTTCCAGCTAAAATAGTGAAGAGTGGGATTTTCAGGACTCAGATTTTCAGCTTCCAAAATCAACTCAACATACAAACCCTACTACTTTCTGAAATAAACACAGGTGGGATGCCAGTGAAGGTCTTGATGACTGACTGCATGAAACAATGATCCAAAAGCCTGCTACTGGATTCTGTGCCTCACTATCCAGCTGACTGCATATATCCTTTTTACCTCCCTCTTGCTTCAATTTCCATATTTGCACACCAGCAGTAATAATATTTCCTTATTTCATATGAGCAGTATAAGGCTTTGTACATGAATATTTCTAAAGTATGTAAAATCCTACAATGCAAAGCATAATTAGAAGAGTTATTAATATATAATTTTATTTACAGAATTCTCAGAGGCAAATGTAAAAATAATCCAATATAGACCACAATAATGATGATTTACACCTTTGCTGCTCATATGCATCAACAAATTATCTGTGTTTTGACTGTCATAAGCCATCATTAAAAAAAGATAAATTAGTGATTAGCCTGTTATACCTAGTCAGATCCAGCCTGATTTTCTGAAGTGTTGTAAGTGATATTTTATGGCCTGGGGAAGATTCAGATGAAACAGGATGGGATCTCAGCAGGCAGCTAGTAGACCAGCTACTGTTCCAACTCTAGATCTGTTTTTTTCTGCGTGTAGCAGAGCCTCACCTATTTCCTCCTTGAGGTCTATTTCAGCAGTTGTAGGGTGAACGATGCCTTCTACTTTCATGGAGCCAATATGGCTGATGTCACTCTGTGTCAGAGAAAGCTGTCAAATAATAAGAAGAGAGCAGGAAAAAAAAAAAAAATAGTAACCCAAGTTCAAAATCATTTTCATACCAAAAACTAAAATGAAAGAAAGCTGCATTGAGTCTTTCGGAGATCAGCAGTTATATTGTGTTCAATACATGTGATTCTGATTTTTAGCCTTTAATTAACTAATGTGTACACCACCCAGATTATTTTGTGATATGCCCCCAGCCTGGGAGCTTGCTCCAGAAGAGATTACTGCTAGAAAATTCATGTTCTACCATCTACCAAAAATTAAAGAAGGCAAAAATCTCTCCCTCTTGGTGAGTACCAGCTCTGGTGAGGTCCTCAATTTGAACAGTGAGAGAGTGGCGTCCCATGGCCCACTTTCACATGGAGCATCGATGCTTCTGGCACAAACCAACACATGGAAGTTCTGGGTGATCCTGGGACCTGACCCATAAATACTCTTTTATAAATAATAAATAGCCTAGAAGGTTAAACCTGGTTTGGCAGTATGCCAGGCATAACACAGCCCAGTCCAATTTGAACAAAACTCTCATACAGCTTAGGCCAAGAAATGAATCAGTATGGTTCTCTGTAGAGAAGACAGGCTGATCAGTGTTATTCTTGGAAATCTTTTATCTGCAGACATATTTTTTTGAGACGCGCTACCATGCCCATGACTTGAGTGAGTTTTGGCCTTAAATGTGGGACCACTAAGGGAGAAGGTAGAGAAGATTTTGTACTGGTGTTAGATCAAAAGCATCCTTCTGTTTATGCTGGGCTCCACTGCTGTGATCCCAATCTGTTAGAACTTTGTTTTACCTTTTGTCCTGGCACAAGGCTCTTGGAGGACAAGATAGTGAAACCATCCCCAGGTCCATCTTCAGATGTTGAATTTGAAGCTCCTTCTTTTTCATTGTCCTTTTGTTTGTTCTATTTAGGGAGAGAAAAAAGCAACAACTCTCAAAGGAAAAGAAAAAAAAAAATCAACATTTACCAGTATTAAGATAGATTTAATCAGTTACAAATCTCATCTTCTCAGATCAATATATAGCCTTTTAATCCCCAAAGATCATGTAACAACAGATGTCTTCACTGTTTATATAATGCTAAAAATCTGGTGGTTCATCTGAGGCATTACATACGTTTGTAGTCATATTAAGAGTCGGGGCACCCACATCCATCTGTAGTTTCACTAACAATTAAGGTTGAATATGTGCTAGTTTATTTTTGCTGCTAACAGAGCAGAGCTCATACTGAATCAAACTCAGTAACTTAGTAACCCAGTCAAACGCTCCAATCTGAAGAAAAACCCACAACTTTATGATCAGAAAAAAAAAAAATCTTAAATCACAGAATCACAGAATGTTGGGG